GAGGTAACTGTTATGTTTTATTTTAATTAGGAAACACTTCTGTACATTCCTTATATTTATTAAACTCCTGTTGAGAAACTTCAACTAATGTTATAGCTTGATGGATCCTACCCAATAATAAAACTAAAGGTTTTCAAACAGGAATTCCTACTACAATATTAGTTTTACTTCAGGACAAATGTTTTCACCTCATTTGAAATTGGCCCAGATGCACTGATTAGAGCGTGTCAGTTAAGACACAATCAGGAAATGAGTTCACATGTTTCTGGAGCAGGACATGGCTTTGAGACGCTTTGCAAACAAAGTGGTTCCTCACGTCTTCTGGAAAATCCATAAAAATGGGCAAGTCAAGGACCGCTTAGAAGCACTCTTCCATCCCATATTCTTGACTAATGTAAAGGTGGAAGTCAGTGCAGAAAAAGAGATAACATGAAAGCTAAAGAGAGTGTTGTACCAGTTCATTGCGCCAAACCTGTCATCTTAACATAGTGTATGATCTTATCTGAACCGTCAGGAGGTAAATTTCCTGAGAGATTCAAAAATGTCTTTATCAAACATCAATATTTCCCCACCAAATTTAAGTTAAAAAAATGGAAAACTCTTAGTTGTCTACTTGAATCAGATGATCTGTGTCAGATAATTTCAAACGAATATTAATTCAATTTCTCTGTTAAACTCTCCTACATGGTAGAGCTGAATTGAATACAGACTTAAATCAACACATGCAGGAAATTTTAAGACACCTGCTCATGTGTAAATTAGTTAAAAACAAAATCCTGGAAAATCTGTGAAGGTGGGACTTCCCAAGGAACCCAGGCTCAGGGGCCTTTGAACACTTTTAGGTAGATTTTCTTCAGATTCCATTCTCCATGGAATTAGAACAAGTTTCATTTACTGTCTGCTGTTTTTCTCAATGACTTGAAGTAATTCCTTGACAAAAGTCTACAGCCTGTTCAATCCATAAACAGATTTTGTGTTTCCAACCTGTGATATGCCGATGTTTTCATCATTTAACTGAAACACACCCATTACAGGAAAAAAAAATGTTATAAAGCAATTCTGTTAGGCGTTTCCTTTGCTCAAATGCTAAACTGCTATTACCATCTACAATATCCTGTAACTGCTGGAAAAATGGCATTGCTACATAGAATTAATCACATATTTAAAAACTACTTTTTATATTAGTTTTTAATTTCGTAAGCGTGGAATGTTTATTTTTTCCATTTATTTGTTTTATCTCTATTTTTTTTACCAGTGTTTTGTAGTTTTTCTAGTAGAGATCTTTCATCTCATTGGCTTAGCTACATTCCTAGGTATTTAGTTGTCTTGGTGGCTATTGGGAGAGCATATTCTTGATTCCACTCTCAGCCAGAAGGTTTTTAGTGTATAGAAATGTTACTGTGATTTTTATACATTGATTTTATATCCTGAAACATTCATAAACTAATTTATAAATACTAGGGACTTTTGACAGAATCTTCAACATTTCCTAGATATACAATTATGTCATCAGTGAAAACAGATAGTTTGCATTCTTCTATTTCTTTTATATGGATGCCTTTTACTTCTTTACCTTACCTGATCTGGTTAATACTTCCAGTACTATACTGAATAGAAGCGTTGAGAGCGGGCATCCTTATCTTGTTTCTGTTCTTAAGGAAAATGCTTCCAGTGTTTGCCCATTCAGTATGATGTTGGCTGTGGGTTTGTCATAGATGGCTCATTAGATTGAAGTGTGCTTCTTCAATGCTTATACTTTTGAGGGTTTTTTTTTTTTTTTAACATAAAGGGATGTAAGATTTTATTGAAAGCTTTTTCTCCGTCTTCTGGGATACTACAATGGTTTTTGCTTTTGATTCTGTTTATGTAGTGAATCACGTATATTGATTTGCATAGGTTAAAGCAGCCATGCATCTCTGGAATAAAGCATACTTGATTGTGGTGTGTCAATTTTTTGATATACTACTGGATTTGATTTCGTACGTTGAGAATATTTAAGCCTATTATCATGAGAAGTATTTGTCTTGAGTTTTCCTCTCTTGTGTCTCTGCCATATTTTGGTATAAGACTGATGCTGGCTTCATAGAATTAGTTGAGAAGGAGTCTCTATACCTTGAGTTTCTTTGAGTAGTTTCAGTAGAATTGGCATCTTTTCCAGGTTTCTTTTTCTTGGTAGGTTATTTATTATTGATTCAATTTTAGAAGTTGGTATTGCTCTATTTAGGGTTTCAGTCTCTTCCTGATTCAATCTTGGAAGATTTTGTGTTTCCCCAAATTTATGCATTTCCTCCAGATTCTCTAATATGTGTGCATGAAGTTTATAGTATTTGGAGAATTTTTGTATGCTTCTGGGGTCAGTTGTAATATTCCCTTTGTCATTTCTGATTGTACTTATTTGGATCTTTATCTTTGTTAATCCAGCTAGGGGGTCTATCAATCAATATTATTTATTTAACAAAGAAGAAACTCTTAGGTTTATTGATATTTGGTTTGCCTTTTTGTATCTGAATTTCATTAAGTTATTCTCTAATTTTGTTTTTTTCTGCCAGCTTTGAGATTTTTTAGTTCATTTAGGTGTGAAGTTAAGATTACTAATTTGAGACCTTTCTAATTACTTGATGAAATCATTTAAGGTTATCAGTTTTTATGGTGCCCAAATAAATTATCAGATTCAATGCTATTCCTATCAAACTACCAGCATTATTTTTACAGCATTAGAAGAAAAACTTCTTAAAAATTTTATGGAATAAAAAAAGAACTTTAAAAACAAAAGCAATCTTAAGTGACAAAAATACTGTCAAAGGTATCCCACTATAAGACATCACATTGTACTATAAAACCACAGAAACCAAAATAGCTTAGTACCTGTACAAAAACAGATGCATAGACCACTGAAAGAGAATACAAAACTCTGAAATAAAGTTGCACAACTACAACCATCTGATCTTACACCAGGACACTAAAAACATGCAATGAGGTAATGTATCCCTATTCAATAAATCGTTCTGGGATAACTGGCTAGCCATATGCAGAAGATGGAAGCTACATGTCTACCTTTCACCATTAACAAAAATTAACAAAAAAATGGAGTGAAGATTTAAGTACAAGACCTCAAACTATAAAAATCTTGGAAGACAACCTAAGAAATACTCTTCCCAAATTGTTTTTGGCAAGAAATGTTTGGCAAAGTCCCCAAAAGCAATTGCAGCAAATGGAAATTCTGTATGTGGCACTTAATAAAATCTGAGTTTTTACACAGCAAAAGAAACTATCAAGAGAGTAAGCAGAGAGCCTACAGAATGGGTGAAGATATTCATAAACTATGTGTCTGATGGAAGTCCAATATCCAGGTGCTGTAAGAAATGTAAATCAACAATCAAAAACAAAATAACCACATTTACACAATAGGCAAATGACATGAGCATAAACTTCTCAAAAATATATAAACTGGCCAGGACATATGAAAAAATTGGTTAGCATCACTAATCAACAGATAAATGCAAATCAAAACTGCAAAGAGATGCTATCTCATACCGGTCAAGATCAGTACTACTAAAAAGTCAAAAATTAACAGATTCTGGGTAGGTTGCGGAGAACAGGAAACACATATACGGTGTTGGGTGGAATGTGAATTATTCCAAGCACTGTGGAAAGCAGTCTGGAGAGTTGCAAAATATTTAAAGCAGAGCTACCATTTGGCCCAGTCATCTCATAAGTGGGTATATGCACAAAAGAAAACAAATCATTCTACTAAAAAATACACCCACTTTCAGGTTTATTGCTATGGTATTCTTAATACCTAAGACAAAAAACCAACCTGTGTGTCCATTAATGGTGGATTGGATAAAGAAAATACAATATATTGACACCATGGAATGCTATGCAGTCATAGAAAAATAATGTCTTTTGTGAAACTTGGGTGCAGCTGGAAGTCAAAATTCTAAGCAAACTGATGAAAAAAGAGATAATGAGAGTCAATGGGACATGACTCTGGCATTGTGGGTGTGTCTGTGTGTAAAATTGAGAAAAGAACTCACCTGGATACATAAACTCTTAAAATAGCCAAGTCTGGAGCCAATCATATCCCAGTTTCCATTTCGTTAGGTTTTATTGTCCTGATTTTTAGTGAGCTAAATTTTCTTTTCTTTACTCTTAGCTTACATAACTACACATCCTGATTTAGAGGCATGACAATAAAAATGTCATATTTGAAGCTTACAAGTCCCTTACAATTTACTGGCCCTCTCAGGGGGAGGTCGACCAAGGATATCGCCCCCTAATGGTATTTACTTTAGACCGCAGTCCCTGAGCTTTACTCCTTCATAGAATTACTCTCTTAATCATGTTAATTATCCACAAGTGTTGACTCAGCTTTGTTTTTTATATTCCATCCAACGTGTGGTTGACTCAGAGCTTCTGTTGTGAATTCTATACTAAATAAACCGCCTGGAACCCGAGCTGCTCAGGGCCGGTATTCCTACCGGCTGCCTGCCATTGCTTTACCAGGACTTTTTTTTTTTTGCAGATCTCCTTGGAGTCAGTCAGCGGCCTCGGACCCTCAGCTGAACTGGCAAAGCGGAATACCTGTGTCAGTGTACGTTTTAGTCACCGGCGCCGAATCAGGAGTCTGCAGGAACAGCCGCCCGCAGCTAGCGCCCTCTTGTGAGGAGCCATACTCAGTTCTAGTCAGGAATCTTCCTCAGGTTCCTGTCCTGAGTCTGACTGGAGAAGACTCACCAGGAAGCCTGAGCTTCCTCAGGACTCTGATCGTGGCGACCATGGCTGGGAACTCAATCCTCGGTAAGGATCGTCTGCATTTTGTACATATGAGAATAGGTTTTCAGAGTAAAACAATCATTTAAAAAATATGTAGAGATGACATTGGTAATCAGAGAATCCTGAACTCAGAGAGGTTCACTAGAGGAACTGTAGAAAGGTGACGTCCCACATCCTGACAGGAAATCAGCCTCCGTGTGCACCGGCCTCCGGGTTGACTCTGATCAGTGGGTCCCGAGCGCCCCCTGCCGCTGATTTCCCCGGCGTTCCTGCAGGGAGGTTTGTGTCTGGGCTCACACTGACTTCCCCTCACTGTGTCTCTCGCACAGTAATAGACAGCCGTGTCCTCAGCTCTCAGGCTGTCCATTTGAAGATACAGTGTGTTCTTGGCGTTCTCTCTGGAGATGGTGAATCTGCCCTTCACGGAGTCTGCATAGTATGTGCTACCCCACCATTTAATACGTGAGACCCACTCCAGCCCCTTCCCTGGAGCCTGGCGGACCCAGTCCATGTAGTAGTCACTGAAGGTGAATCCGGAGGCTGCGCAGGAGAGTCTCAGGGACCCCCCAGGCTTTGCCAAGCCTCCCCCAGACTCCACCAGCTGCACCTCACACTGGACACCTGCAAACAAAAAGACACCAAGGTCAGAAACTGCCACACATATCCACTGTTCCTCTCACTCATGTCCACTCACACACAGTATTTCTACTTCACTCTCAATTACCTTTCAAAAGAGCAACAAGGAAAACCCAGCTCAGCACAAACTCCATGGTGTGTTGTGTGTTTAGTGCTGATCGCCGAACAGAAACACCTGGGAATTCTGGGGCTGGGCTCCTCTCCCAGAGCTGCAGGGTCAAGGCTGGGCTGCTTTTCACCAGAAGAGGGAGGGACCTATTTGCATGTCTCTTGCTATATAGCAAGCTCTGGGGTGGGGCGGCTGAGGAGAGGGCAGTGCTCAGAGCAGAGGAGAGTGTCCCGGAAAACACTGGAGTCAATTCTATCTCTCAGGAAATATAACTTCAGATTATGTGATTGTGCCTTGATAATCATTTAGTATTCATCGTCTTATTTAATTTTTACATACTTGTAGAATGTACTTAACGCAAGTGTGAATGTCACATTTTTAGAGAAGATAATTACATGCAGAACAGAGCAGCTGTGCAATGTGTCCAATATCACACATCTGGACAGAGTTAGCCCTATTATCTGTGCCTGTGACACTGAACACTGGAGGAGTCGGCTCCCCTGAGACAGCTCCAGGGTGGTGTGGGACATGCCTAGAGGGGGTTTCAGGATGTCCCACCTGTCATAACACTTTATGTAATTTTGCCATTTGTAGTGTTTACCTGAAATATACACTCAGTGTTCACATGTGTGTGTTGTCAGGAGTCCGTGATTATTCAAGTATCAATATTTATCTCTTTCTTGGTTTTTCTCAGCCAATATATTCATTTTTGTTACTGCTTTAATAAAATCAATTAATAATGAAAACAAATTGATAGTGCAGCATTTAGGAAATGTTGATATATGTGTGCAGTCGTTGAATCAGCACTTCAATCATGCTGTTAGCAATTAAATTAACCTCTATTTTTTTCTCTCACTTCTCTGTAATTTCATTTCACCACCTTGTTACTCTTACCACCCTTTTCTCAGAAAATTCAGATCTTCTTCATGTTAATTTACAATAGTTGCATCTTCTACAATTCATACAAATAAAATCACATGAGATTTACTGTGAATTCTTCAGCTTCCTTCACTCACCACAATTATTTTATAATATCCTCATGTTCTTATGTGAAGGAGGCTTGCCTTGATTTCAACGGTTCATCGTATTTTGTTACATTAATATTTCTCAAATTGTTTGACAACGCACCAAATAATGGATACTTGATATGTTGTTTCAGTTTCTGAATTTTATTTAGAAATTAAATACTAAGCATTATAATGTAAAAATTGAGAAATTAATCTTATTCTGACCTCATTAACAAAAACCATGAATAACTACAAAAAATAAACCCTTCAACATATCTGAGTTGATGTCACAGAGAAAAACAAATCCCTGTATTCTGAGAAAATAGGGGCCTGCAGTGAGAACTAGGGTCCACTTATTAGAGTAACTGGGGCAGGTGCAACTCATGGCATGGTACTGAAGAAGGAAAAAGCTAACCTGGATATGTTTCATGAGTTTTGAGGACGTGTGTGCTAATCGTGTGTGAGTGTGAAACTCCCGGCACTTGCAGGTTTTTCCCACAGAATTGGGGAAATCCCCAGACAACTCACCCACCTGCTGTCCTGTGGTGTGGACCGGGGAGGAAGAACAGCAGCTCTGTTCAATGCTGAATCCCCCTTCACTATATGTGGGAGACATTTATTAAATCTTGTGTCCTTCAGGCACTGGTAGAATCAACTAGAACACAAGTAGACAGAGGACACCAAGGAAACTCTACCCAGAAACACCTCCCATCTCTTTCCTGAGGAATGAAATCCTGAATCTGTGGGGTAAGGACAGTGGGTCAGAAGCTGAGGACACTGATGAAAATCCACTGTGGCTGGGAAGAGACACTCTGACACTGGGGAAGGGAAGGAACAGAAACACTTGTAAGGCCATGCTTCAGAGCCAGTCACACCACCCATAGCTAAGAAGGAGGCTTAGTCAGAAGGTTGGAGAATGTGCCCCTGTGTCCAAGCCCCTTCACCACACAAACAATCACCAAGTAAAAGTGTCAGCAGGATGCACCTGCCACAGCTGTAAGAGGTTCTCTGGGGGGAATGAAATGTGAAAACCCAAAGCCAAGCAGGGACACAAAATCAAGTATCACTGGAGGAACTTGAAGCTCTTGTGAATAGGAGAAGCTGACTTCAACTGTGATAGCCGTTGCAACCATACACTTGAAATCCAACCCTGAGTAGACTCATAGACATGTGGTTAATAAAGGCCCAACAGAATGTAATATGTGATCATCTCCTAGAAGAAAAAAATAAATGCAAGAAAATAAATAACAAGCGAAATGTAAACTGAAATTATACATACATTTCATTTTTATAAAAATGTGAAAGCAAATAAAATTATATCATTAAAAAAATCCTGAGACAATTTGTCAGCAGATTCATGTTTCAGGGCACATGTTAGCAAAGTTTCTCTGCAAGTAGCCATGTGATATGCACTCAAAACATAGATCTATACAAAGAAATTAAGATTGTAAAAAAAGGGAAAATCAAGATGAAGTGCAGTTATTATCTCTGTAATTGCTATAACATATACCTATATAAAGCGATAAAAATATATATTATATTTTATATGTAAGTGCAAACTGAGAGTAAACAAGAAGGAGTGGTGAGAAGGAGAAATTCAAAGCACACAGTTACTTTATCTCTGTACTTCAGATCAACGCCATCACAGTATCTGCATTAGAATCTAATTCCATACAATTCTTATTGTAAACCTTATGGCAGCCAATATAATATTAATAAAACACGAATTAGATAATATTTTAATAGAGAAATAAATATTGTTATGAAATGCTAATTTAAACACAAAATAACAGAAAAATAATATTAACTTTAAAATAGAATTTATTGTAGTTTATTTAAAAAAGCATGGCCCAACTATTAGCTACGTACAAGGAAGTTACTGTACATATCCACAAATAGAAAAGATAAAGATGGTAAATGATGGATGATGAAAATATGAACCAAAAGAAAGTTATAGTTGCTGTGTAAATTTCAGACAAAGTAGACATCAAAAAGTACTTTCAGGACTTAACAGGGATATTACATAAGATAAAGTGACCAGTTTTGTAAAAAGATGCCAAACAAGACTTAACAAATATATAATAGACGAAGAATGCCCCATTCATTGTGATTTACAGAACAAACGTGAGTAAGGAAGTAAAGATGTCAGTGAGACCATGCACGTAAGGGCACTCTGGGGACGGAGAAGCTCCTTTGTCGTCATGGAGGGCACCACTGGGAACTTCCTCTTGAATTTCTCCCTGTTGCTGCTCACAACAGCCCCAGTCCTGGAGGCTGATGAACCACGATTATGCTGCAATCAGTGAAGGTGAATCCAGAGGCTTTGCAGGAGGGGCTTAGTGAACCACTGGGCTGTACAATTTTCCCCCCTCAGACTCCACCAATGAACTTCAAACAGGAATTCTGCAAACACAGATGGAACAGACTGAGAATAGCCCCATGTGGAGCAGCCGCAGCTGGACCTGATTCACAAGGGCCCCTGATACTGAGGGTGATGAGGAGGGAAGCCCAGATCAGTGCAGACCCCACGGTGCGGACACTGAGGAAGGACACAGACATGGGGTGGCTCCTCACCAGGGCCTGAAGGAACAGGGGATGAGCTGCCTTTCATAAGGAGGGGAGGGGACACATTTCCGTGTCTTTCTTTTTGTGGTCATGGGTGCACCGCTCAGCATTGCTCATCCATCCTCTGTGTCTCCATTTCAGGGAGGGCAAAGACAAAGGATTCCTGGGTCTGGATGCACAGGGTTAATCTGCCTATTACTCTTTCTTCTTCTCTAATGTGGACACTGTTCAGGTATGTTCATCGTAGCAAACAATTTCGACAAATATGTCCAGTAAGAACACAATATATGCATTTCCAAAGAAAATGGACATCTGTCTGTAATCAGTGCATTTAGAGCTGCAAACCACTGTTCCTGACAATGAGGCAAAGTTAAGTTACAACGAAGAAAATGCAGATCTACACCTTCTCAGGGCTGGGGTTTATAATTGCCATCATCTTTTCCACAAGACAGTTCAACACTGGATATATGTGCTTGTGTCAGCAAACAGTCAATGTGGAAATGTGTGCACTTATCTGACTGAAGAGTTCTCATGGAGACATGTTTGTTTGTCTGAGACAAGAGTCCACATGAGGAAATGTCTGTTTCCTGAGGAAAGAGTAATTGTAAGGACAGATGTGGTGGTCTGAGGAAAGAGTCCACATGGGGACATGTGTGCTTGTCTGAGGGAAGAATCCACATGAGTAAAGGTGTGTTTGTCTGACAGGAGAGCCCACATGTTGACAGGTGTGTGTACAAATCTGAGAGTAAATGCCCATTCAGGGACAGTGCATGCCTGAACTGAACTGAAGTTTGGGAAAATCTTTCTCAACCAATGAAACCTGGGTCAAGTAGATAATTGATTTTTTAAATACAATGTCTTTAGTGAATGGAAACATGGTATATGCAAATGTGGAAAATTACTTCAATCTCTGTTGCATGCATCTCATGATATCCCTACACTCACCAAAAATGTTATTAAATAATTTTATACAAGGTGTATTTGATCCTGGGGTTAATGAACTTTTTAAATTGTATTTATTTAGATTTATATTTTCCATCACAAAATTGTGTGCTTAGACAAATTGTGTCGTGTCTCAACCATTGCATATCAGTAAAGATAGTTTCAGTGTTGTTAAACAGTGCCTTTCAAACTTATTTTATACCCACTCTCTAAATTCCTGGAATATCTCTATACGTTTCCTTGACTACAGTTTTGGCTCTTACAGAATTTCAAATAAATCAAATTATACAGTGTATTGAAATAACTTCCCTGAAGAACGTGGGAAATGAAGTTGCTGACCTAAAGAACATTGAAAATGAGGAAATTCTATGAGTTTAAAGTGTAAAGAAATTGCACATAAACACTCTATTCTGGTAGATAAACATGTTTCCCACAAGGATACAGCTTTACATTTCTGATACTGCTGTGCATGTGTCCTGAAATTGTACAGCTAAGTAATCAAATGGCATATGGTGGGATGGGGATCCTCGCTTTGCAGTGGGTGGTTATGGACAGTCAATAAAGGAGGGCTAGCAAGGTCCATGTGGTAACATAGTTGGGTGGAGACACCAGTGTGTTCTCATTTTTAATGCAATAAAGTTACAGAAGATTAGATGCATAAAAGTTTCGATGTGTCCACAAATATGGGTTCATATAAACATGCCTATTTACTGGGTCAGTTGGCTGAGAGGTCCTAGAAGTACTTACACCACACTAACAACACACATACCCAGTATCACAATTTTTTATTTTAATAGCATTCTTTAATATCAGAAACAAGCAGTCTTTGGAAAAATGACTGATTCTACGTCTGAAAAAGGTAATATAGAAAACGTGCTTAGAATGTATTGTAATGCCAGGACACAGGGAAGTGTTCAAAAACAAAAGGATGAGGTGTGCTGTAAGGATGCAGGATCCAAAATAAATGAGCTCCCAGCACCTAATAAAACTGTGATGATTTGAACAATAAAATGAATACTGTAGCATGGATCTTCTTCAGAGAATGAAATAGACATCCATACACCAATACGGATATTAATGGATGACTAAATAGAGAAATAATGGGAAGAATAGCACATATCCCTGCAGAAGCATTCCAAATATCTCAGGTGGAGAGTCCTCCGATCAAGTAGGTGAAGCTTAAACACTCATGAGTTGATTGTGTCCTGAGATTAGAGACATGGAAAAAAATAATCACTATTAGTGTATTTTATAATGAGATTTCAGATATAATGCCAAAGACATTATCTATGGATGAATAAATTACTTGTTTTTAATCTAAATGTGTGCAAACACACACACACACACACATTTTTCTGCAATGCCCACTGATAAGGGAGTAAAAGATAGTCACAGACTTTGATAAAATAATTCCAAGTCACATATTTGTTAAATGAATTCTTTTAATTCGTTAAATCACTTTTATAGCCAGTATGCAAGTAAACTTACAACTCATCAAAAGAAATGCAATTAAAAATTAACCAACTCTCAGGAGAGGCATCTTACCAAAAATATATTTATTAGGAACATGTGCATTTAAATAAAAATTAGATACCATTACTTGCCTATTAGCATGGTTAAAACACACAATTCTCATAATGATAAATGGCAATACAAATGTGGGAAATCAAGGACTATTGTGCATTGATGGTTGGAATTCAAAATGCTACATGCACAAAATGAGATTTTTTGGCATTTTTAAAATAGAGATAAAAGTAAACTTAAAATGCGAACTTGTGTTTTTGTCCTAGAATATTTACAACACTGATTCAGAAATTCATGTTTACAAAGATTTGTTCAGAGGAAGTTCTTTATCAGATTTGTTAATTTGATTCATTTTCGAATCCCTGAAATTCTCTTACAGAATAAATGCTGTATGAACAATCTCTCAAATAATTAAAATTCTTCAACTACACATTTATATTTTTCCTTTTTTTTAATGACTTAATGCCATTTTCTAAGAAAATCTTCAATTTAATAATCTTTGTCATCTCCTCCATGCCAGCACAGCTGCCTCCTCCCTTGGGTTTCTGACACTCTCAGGATATGGGTTCTCACATTGTGTCTTGCACAGTAATACACGGCCGTGTCCTCAGATCTCAGGCTGCTCAGCTCCATGTAGGCTGTGTTCGTTGACACGTCCCTGGTGATGGTGACTCTGCCCTGGAACTTCTGCACATAGTTTGTGTTACCATTTCCAAGGCAGACCCATCCCATCACTCAAGTCCTTGTCCAGGGGTCTGTCGCACCCACTGCATAGCAGAGCTAGTAAAGGTGTATCCAGAAGCCTTGCAGGAGACCTTCACTGAGGACCCAGGCTTCTTCCCCTCAGCCCCGGACTGCACCAGCTGGACCTGGGACTGGGCACCTGTGGGGAGGACACAGGAGTGGATGAGAGCCCCCCTGACTGCACTCAATCCCGTCCTCATCACTGGGACTTGGCAGCCTCTCACCTGTCGCTGCTGCCACCAGGAAGAGGATCCTCCAAGTCCAGTCCATGGTGAGGAGCTGCGCTGCCTGGGGCTTCTCTAGCTGAGGGATGTGGTTTCTGGGTGATGCTCTCAGGGCTGAGACATATCCATATTGACCTCAGTGAATCTCAGGTTATTTGCATATTCATGAGACAGAGCATTTCATAGCTGAAGACCCTGATTCAGGATAAGGAAGGGAAGGTAAATGACACATCACCCTTACAAGAGTGGGATGCTGACGCTCCAAGCCCCAATCCTCCTTGAGCAAACGCAGGCTCTGCTCCGTTTACAAACTTTCGATGTCCAGAGGTCCTTTCACTGAAGACCCAGCACCCAGAGGACATGCTCCTCACTGTGATCCCGTATTTGATTAGCGCAGAGACCGCCTGGATGATTTCTGGAACCATCACTCTCCATGACACTGAGAAGGTGCCGTGACCTCATCCTAGTCCCATCAGGCACCAGCACAGCTCACTGGTGACTCTGAGAAAGTGACAGCTGATGTCCCACGTGAGTGTCCAGCAGGTCCCCCTGAGATCGTTTGGGCGCTCCTGAGACAGTGTCTCCAGCACCTGCCTGGCTTCCTGATCCTCCAGGATCTTCAATAGAAACACTCTTGGTTTACAGATTTGCCCTGTGATGCATAGTTAGAGCTGATTTTCTCATCTCATGGACAATAGGAATCAGAAGATGTAAGAGAAGTTTGGGGTTCCTGATGAACTCACTGCTCCCAAAGTCATAAAAGAATTTGTGTTTTGGATAAGTTTGGGTTTTATTTCCTACTCCATTTAATAGAATTTCATGAACTGTTTACATCTTTTCAGTTCATATCCATAGATCCTCATCTTTCCATATTGATTTCTGACTCACTAGGTCTGTGCACCTGCCACACTGTCAGATCCATCACTACCCTGTCACACACACAATGTAGGCAACATTACTTAACACTAAAGTCTGAATTTTTTTATTCATAGGAATATAGTGCCTCCCAGAATACTGTGTCCTTTCAATTAGTAAAACAATTCCCATCCGTTATATCCTCAGTATTAAGATATTTACAGTCCTAGAAACCCACTTCGAAAAATAGTTCTTGTTGCCTTATGGTATATGAATGCTTCTGATGTAACAGGACATTTAAAGGCATATCCACTACTTCTTGAATACTTAGTTGTTTGTTGTTGACAAAGGAAGATACAGGCGCTGAGAGGAAACCTCGTCCCCAGCCTCCTGTGCACCTGCTCCGGGGCTGGAACCTGGGCTGGGTGGCTCCTGAGTGTCCCCTCCAGCCCAGCCCTTGCCTTGCGAGGAAGTTCCCATGGGGCTCACAAAGCACTTTCCCTCAGCTTCCCTAGCTTAACATGAAACGGCTTTGTCCTGGCTTAGAATACTCCTTCAGTGACAGAATACGCTGCTGACACTGTCTCTTGAAATAATTGATTAGTCTTACTAAACCTAATGAACTCTACAGGGAGACCCAAAGCAAGGATTCTATGACACAGGAGGGAGCCCCTTCTCTAAGCTCCAGATGTACTGAATCAGTGGAAAATGAATCCAAAACCTCACAGGAGATTTGGGTGTGCATTGTTCCCTGCAGCTGAATGTTACTGCTGAGATTTCCAGCAGGTGCAGATGCATTCAGATGAGAGCACGCTTCATATCCAATATTCCAATAACATCCGTTTTCCCTTCTTCCTAGTGCCTTGCCTGTAGAAAGTGTCTCCTACACTGACACTAGGCCCAGTATCTGACTTTCTTCTCCTAGAGATCTAAAGCCAACAGGATCCAAGTGAAGACTTGGGAAGTGCATGAAGGTTGTTATTTTCTTTGTCTCAGCTAAGAACCTTGCAAAGCCTTCATGATAAAAGAAGCTGAGGTGAATGAGGGAGTTTCCAAGATCTTGTTTTTAAAAATCTTGAAGTCAGAGGCTTCATATTGCTCTACTGTCCTTGTCTAACTCTCTGTCATTTTTTTCTAAGTTTCTGTATGTTCTCCTCTGAGTCTGTGCATTGCCACACTCTCATCTTTAATCCAGAGCCATCATCCTGATTAGATTGGGTTGTGCAGTGCAGGTCAGCACTGTCTGTTCTTACAGTGGAAACCTAGAGACGCGATCGGCTTCCTCTCCTGGGCTGTGACCTTGACCAGGCGTCTCCAGGGGAAAAGCTGAATTTTCTTCTTTACTCCTTTTTGTGGTTTCATTTTCCCTGGACTATTTGCTTACATCTTACCCTATTGGCTAACTTTACTCATTCGTATAATAATGGAGGAATGGGGAGGGATCTGGAATGGGCAGATTTGTCTTCCCCTCACAGAGCATAAGGATCTGGAAAAGTTCTTCCCTGTAGGATCTTTTGGAGAAGGCTCCTGGTGTGTGTTTCAGTAATTAAACTTCCCCAATTCTGGCCTATAGGAGATGTATTTGGATTGTATTTTTTAGATCTGGAGATTTCTGGAGGAAAATTCCGGAAGGCTGAGGATTGTGTGGCCCTCTGGGACTGTCATTTCACCCTAGTCCACGTCTGTCTCGCAGGCCTCTCTAGTGCTTACCATGCAAGTGCCTTCAACAGCCTGTGGCTTCTGCAGCTTCGGTCCAGTTAAGCACGTGTCAGCTGTCATTCTGGACATGCCCATCTGTCCAGTTTTTGGAGTGGTCATTAAAAAAATTGAACTTCATTCATCTGATGGATTCTAAAAGGTATTGAAGATCAGATTGTGCAGATGCCTCTTGACATAAGAATGAGGTGATGACTGTTGTAATCTTTACATTTTGGAGCAAAGCCCAAAAGTACAACCAAAGGTCCTCTTCATGTGTTACTGGAGGCAGGATTCTAACCTGATTACATAGATGGGGCACCTGCTCTCACATAAAAGAACAGGCAGGAAAACAGAGAAAGGACGTGGCACAACACTTATGAAAAAGTCTCGGCAATTTTAATTTTCTTCTGAGGAAGCTGAAATTGTGAAAGTGAAGCAGTGTGACTGGTCATGTCTCAGGTGATGTCGTGTTCTGGAAAGTATCTCCAGTCCTGGGCTGGATCCAGTAGGTGCACTCAGGCCCCAAACCTGAAATAGTGACTCTTATTCCTTAAACAAAAGACATTCCAATGAGAAAGCTGTTCTCAGGTGAGCTGCAGAGCAGGGAGGAGGAGACGGAGGTGTCCTTGGCTTCCCAGAATTGCTAAAGCTTGAAGACCAAGGCCACCTCTGAAGGGCAGAGATCCACCTATGTGTACATCACATCAACTCTGCCTTCAGGAATCTTTGAGTGTATGGGAGTATAAGAAACGTGATTTATTCCTTTCTGCTAATGCAGTGTGCATCAGAGAAAATAAATTGAAAATTTATAAATATTTTTCCATATTGGGGAAAGAACATGTATAAATCATGGCAATACAAGTGCTCACTTTAGAGCCTGCAGAAGGAGCAAGTGCACATTGAGAGAAGGAAGCGTCCTGCCCCAGGAAACAGGTGCCCTAACATCATCCCCTGAGAACTGCCCTGTAGATGCCACGTGTCAGTGGAACCTGGGCTCGCATCTGGGATCTTGTGCGTAGTGTGGAGAGCAGAGCACAGCTCCATTCCTCCTCACTGTGTAACCTAGGATGTGACCTCTTCCTCTGAGCTTCATTCTAATAAGGTATTAATATAAAATAGCAGCAGTAACTTTATCTGTAACCTTTCAGTTAGGACCCAGTGTTGTTCAGCATTGTTATCATGATTGTTGTCCACACCCTTAAATATTATGAAAATACCTGTGTGACCCTTCATCTCAGACCTCAGGTGACCACATTGCAGAGAGCACACCTGCTTTGTTTCTGTCATGAACATCGTATTCAAACGGGAAAGTATGTGCACCTTGCTATAGAATTTATCTTAATTATGTTAGAATGGATGAAATTAGAATTAGTAGTTGACACTTAGAAATTCAGCTGAGGGGAGATCTAAGCAAACTCTCGATGGCGTGTCTTCGTTTCTCCTTGCTTATTACAGATCTAGTGAGAAGAGAGGCAAATTAAAGAGGAAACGATTGACCAATGGGGAATCAGGTATTTTATAAATAAAGAAGTTTTTCACATCTTCTGGAAACCACATCAAATTAAATAAATTAAGAACTATTAGACATTTTTCTGCATTCTAGATACATGACTAATACAGACTTAGATTTAATGCAAAAAGAGACAACACGGAAAATGGAAATTCTGCAGCAGAGCATTTTGCCAAATAGGCAGCTTGAAATTAGTTTGTGATTTTAGCTAAATATTCAAAGAATAAACCCCAGATCCAAGTAAGAAATTATAAAATTTCAAGGTTTAATGACTGGTTGAGAGAAGCTTGAACTAACATTATTTTGATGAATCATACCTCAATAATAAAACTTTGTCCAGTGGTCCAACTTTTCAAGGGGCTGCCTGAGTAACTAATTTCCACCTCCCCTACCTGTGAGTCCTGGCACAGTCTATCATCCTCTAAAACCTGGGACCTCTAAGAACAGTCAGAAGTCTAAATACTATGAAGGTTTCAGAGACCCCAAAATTACTGTCTCTGGGCTGATTGGTGAGGGTGATCTCTATGAGCCTAGTCTTGGAAGAGTGTATGATGGCATTTGTTATAATGAACAGATAGCAACAAAGACAGTCAAGAAAAATGAAGAAGCAGGGGAACATGGTCCAAACAGAAGAACAACATAAAGGTCCAGAAACCAACATCAATGAAAAGGAGGCATACGGATTACCTGGCAGAAAATTTAAAGTAAATGTTAGAAACACATTCAATGAGCTAGTGGCAGCATGCAAGAACAGTGTGAGGATTTTAATAGAGACAAAACATTTAGAAGATGACTAAACAAAACTATTGATGCTGAAGAATACAATAAGTCAGTCAAAAAATTTAATAGATGATTTTAGACCAGACTAGATCAAGTAATAGAAGAAACAGTAAACTCAAAGAAAGATCGTTTGAAATAGTTGAGACAGAGAAGAAAAATGTAAAGGAAAGAAATAAAAAAGAGTTAAAGACTTTTGAGTCAGGAAGCACACTGAAAACTAAATTATACATTGAGGAGTTATGCAAAGATAGGACAAAAAGGATAGTGAAGGAACAGGGTGTGTGTGTGTGTGTGTGTGTGTGTTAGAGAGAGAGAGACAGAGAGAGAGAGAGAGAGAGAGAGAGAGAGGTGGAAAGAATATCCAAAGAAGTAATAGCATAGAAACTTTCTAAATCTGGAAAAGCCAATATTCATCTACATCCAAGAAGCTCTATAAGTTTTAAATAAGGTAAACCAAATGAGAAAAATCAGAGATGTTTGAAACCACATTGTTAAAAGGAAATGTTTTTGAAAACAGAAGGAAAAAGAGCAGATTTAGCAGATTTCTCAGCAGCAGGTTTTCAGTTCAGAATGGAGAGGAATTATATTCCACGATGTATGGTTTAGTGACAGAGATTACTTCTGAGAAATGTATTTCTAGTCAATGTCATCATTGTGCAAGCATCATAGGGTGAACTTACACAAACCTACAGGGAATACCCTACCACGCACAGGCTTTGTGGAATATCACAGTGTTTCCAGACAACTAACCTAGTCTCAACTAGCTCTGCAGAATAATGACATTGCGGCATCAGCTCCATTCTGGCCTCTGCCACATGACAGTTTTGTGTGAATTTTCTTTCTGCTCTCTCAGGACATTTTTTCTCTCTCAACTTCTAACTCCATTCTCCTTTTAATTCTCAGTTCATTGAAAAGATTCATATTTAGCTAAAAACACTGAAAACTTTGGAAAAAAATTTCATCTTATGCCCAAGAAATTTAATTAACTGTCTTCACGGATGTCCGTCTGTTTTTTTCTTGTTTTCCTATGGGATATGGCCCTTGTTTCCACTTCAGCCCAGTCCTTATTTCCATATGCATGAGGCATCCAACCATCACACACCCAGGAACATCCTGGAGGAAGGTACCCTACCATCTGCCTCATCAGCCTTCAGGTGCACAGTGGCTATTCCTTCAGCCGTTGTATGTGCTTTAGGGCTTTTCATTTAAAAGTGTGTTTCACTATCCCCCAAATAAAAGTTCCTGGACCTCAAAAAGTGATGTGCATTGGGGGCATTGACAGCCAATTTTCATTGAAAGTCTCTTCTTCCCTTGGTAATTGAGGAAGACTGGGAAGAAGGGAACAAAACTCAGATCTCCTGTAACTCCTCATTTAGCAACAGATTCAGTGCAAATTTAGAAAGTTGGAGACATAGAGTGATGTTGGTGTGGTTTTCTGTGGCATACTAAGGAGACAGCAGAAGATGGTCAGTGGTCCGTCTCCATCCAACTGGTACCCATTGTCCATTAGTTAGGTCCTAATAAAATACAAAAGACAATTTTTATGACAAAGCCCTAAGGACTTCATTAAAACACTTTGCCCAGAAATTGGTCAACAGGGACATGACAAGTGTTTATATCAGAGCTACTGTTTTTTGTCTACTTTATGTAGAAATCTGAGAGATGTGACCAGCTTCATGGGGCTGATTCTCCATCCAGGGGCCAGCGCTAACAGAGTTATGAGTTATGAGTCTGTCTGGGTCTTCCTAAGAAGACAACACGGAGTGAGTGGCTTAAACAACAAATATTGATTTTCTTACAATTTTGAAGTCTGAATGTTGAAGATCAAGGTGCTGGCAGGGATGGTTCTTGGTGCAGCTTCTTCCTGGCATGCACTGGGGCACCTTCTAATACACTGCGTCCCCACATGGCCTCTTCTCTGCGTGCACGTGAAAAGTGAGAGGTCTCTGGTGTCTCTTCCTCTTCTTATAAAGACAGCACGTCTATTGCATTAGGTTCTCACACTTCTGACCACATTTAACCTTAATTGTATCATTAAAATTCCAATATAGATCCATTGAATTTAAGGTTTCAGCATATGAATTTTAAAGAGGGAACAATTCAATTGATGACACAAACCGAGATGGTGAGAAGCATTAGAATATATATGTTTTTAATCACTAAGGAATAATGGGCCATGAGGAACTTGTAGGAAAGTTCCTAGTAATCGGTGAAAGTTCAGTTGTAAGAGGAAAATGTGCCTTCCTCCTTTCTTTTGTGGCAGAAGAATGTGAGGAAGCAGAACCACAGATATCAAAGAAAGAGGAGCCCTGGGGACAGCTGAGGTGCTGGTGAGGAGGGAGAGCACTGAGCAGATGAGGAAGCCCCGCCCTCCCTGCACCTGCTCCTGACCCGGCCTCCTGCTCTGTGGGCCCCGCGCGCCCCCTGCTGGTCCTGAGCGGCACCTGCGCCCGCCCCCTCCGCCTCCCTGCAGGGAGGTTTGTGTCTGGGCTCACACCCACCTCCCCTCACTGTGTCTCTCGCACAGTAATACACGGCCGTGTCCGCGGCGGTCACAGAGCTCAGCTTCAGGGAGAACTGGTTCTTGGACGTGTCTTTTGAAATGGTGACTCGACTCTTGAGGGAGGGGTTGTAGTTGGTGCTACCACTACTACCACCGATATACCCAATCCACTCCAGCCCCTTCCCTGGGGGCTGGCGGATCCAGCTCCAGCCATAACCACTGCTGATGGAGTAACCAGAGACAGCGCAGGTGAGGGACAGGGTCTCCGAAGGCTTCACCAGTCCTGGGCCCGACTCCTGCAGCTGCACCTGGGACAGGACCCCTGTGAACAGAGAGACCCACAGTGAGCCCTGGGATCAGAGACAGCCTCCCATATCGTCATATCTGCATCCCCGAGACACTCACATCTGGGAGCTGCCACCAGGAGGAGGAAGAACCACAGGTGCTTCATGTTCTTGCACAGGATGTCCGTGACTCTCAGAGAACATTTCCCATGTGAGCTGGACCCTGAATTTAAGGAAATGTGTGGTGGTTTCCTGTGGGTGCCTAAATGAGGATTTGCATGTGGGTGGTGCCTTTGTATGGAGAGGTGAAAAGGGATGAGGGAGGCCCCAGTCTTTGGGGCTCACCCTGAGAGGAGGATGCTGGCTGTGCTCTCTGAGAACTCAGTTCTCTTCCTGGGGCCTCCCCTCACCAAGCCCAGAGTCCTCTTCTTCCAGGTAGGGAGATGTGCTGAAGGAGCTGTTCTGGGAGATGAGTTTGGTCATGGATCGAGGACAGATTTTGGAATAGGTTCAATGCTGTTCTACCCGTGAAAATTTATATGAAATCAACCAAACATCCAGGTTGTCTAAATTGTCAAATCTCCATTAAAAAACATTAGGGCAGCAGATAAATATATTCATCACAGTTAATTTATATAAACCTACATCCATGCAATGTTTATCGTAATTCAGAATATCCAGCGCGGTTGGAATATATCTGTCCCAGAGAGCGCGTCATAAAAAAAAAAAAAAAAAAAGTCTGAGACCTTCCCTTTTGTGAACGTTTGAAGTTTGGGATTCTGTCTGCAATCTCAGGAGAAGGCAGTGGGACGTATCTCCAACCATCTCAATGTGTGATGCTGAGAATGTGACCTGACCATTACACACTTCTGTGTGAATAGATGTAGATTGGGGATCACAGTGACAATTTTAGTCAAAAACGATAATAGGTCAGCACAGGAGCATAGTCTCATCATCATGATTAGTGCAATTGCCTTTCCTGGGAACAAGAGAGGACATCTGTGAGCCCTCCTTTCTGAGAGCACAAGGAACTCTGGTTCTTCCCTGACAGATCACACTTCTGAAACATGGCTGGACAATGACACTCAAGCCCAGAGTCCTCACCCACATATTTATCATTTCAGGTGCATCTGTGTCTGAAAGACTTTCTCCTTCATTGAATTGCATGAACATACCTTAGAGTTTGCGGTATTGCAACTTGGGCATTTGACATTAGTTTGGTGAATTATATAATAAATAATCTATCTCCATGGATGTGGGTAACAGGAGAATCATCAGATGTTGGGTGTGTTTTAACATCAGGACAAACCTGGGCTGTCTTGTTAGGACTGAACAAGTGAGCTGACCTGTGGGACAACAGAGGGAAAGACACAGATCCAACATCCAGAGCCAGGTGAGCTCCTTACCTACCAGGTGGTCTCTGGACATTTTGTTTAAACAGATCCAGAAAGACCTTCCTCACCATCATGAGAATTATGAACATTGAGGGAAATTGAGATAAATTTTTATTTACAGAGAATAACTCATAGGCTTGTAGGCATCAATGTGGGTGTGTACGGGATTGCTAGGATATGCTCATACACAGAACAGAAGAAATAATTCTGTTTCATGGAAAGAAAACCAAAGAGCTTCTGAATTGGTAGGGATTCTTTGCCACAAATGTGTCAGGTCACTAGATCATTTTATGATGCTGGAGATAACACTTCCCAACCTTGTCCTGGAGACAAAATGCAAAAGAGTAAAGATTCAAGTGAGATTCCTTTGAAAAATACAAGTAATGAACAGACCAAAATAAATGAACCATTATGTAAAGAGTGCTAATGAAATGAAACAATAAATTCCATGTTGAGGTGACGGGGAAGTTCCATCTCACAGCTCATTTTCACCTTTATGGGCAGCAAGTGCCCTCTGCAGCCCAGCTCCCACCTTGAAGGGCGGTTTCTGTCTGAGCTCTGTGAATGAGCTGGAGTCATTGTGAGCCATTCAGAAAAGTAGTTGATTCTACTTCTTCAAACGGGAATTTAAACAATCCTCCTCCTCACCTTAGCCAGTCTATTTTTGTAACTGTGCATGACCCTTGGGAATGCAGTCACCATTTCTTTCATAATGGGAGTTGACTGTGCCAGGAAGGTAACAGGAAGATGGGTAAATTTAAAGTCTGGGTACATAAACTGCTGAATTATCAAAGCCTGGAGCCAATCACCTTCTGTCATCTTGCTTAATTAGTTGTGAATTTGTTTTCAGTTGTTTAGTTCAAGTTCCCATTACTCACTTTCTGGTAAAATAGTCAGATACGATAATCTTGAGATATTAAAATGAAAAAAATAGCTAATTTCAAAATGAACCCAACTTCCAGGAGAGATGAAAATTCCTTTGTGGTGAAGAGTGTGAAGGGTGGAGACATGGTTGAATACTGGGGTTGTGTTCACAATTGTATTATTTTAATTAGGGAATTTCTGTACATCCCTTATATTTGTTAGAAACTCCCATTGAGAACTTCAATCTAATGTAATTAGTTGATGGGTCACACAAAAACAATGAAGCTGAAGGTTGTTGAGCAGGAGTTGCTATTACAACTTTAACTTTCCTTTAGAACGCACTCCTCTACCTGATGTGACATTAGCCCAGGTGCACTGAAGAGCGCTTGACAGTTAACCAAAGACCAGGAAATGGACACTCACGTGTGTGGAGCAGGGCATGGCCTGGGATGCTTTGCAAACAAAGTGACTTCTCACGTCTTCTGGAAAACCCATCAAAATGGGCAAGTTAGGGATTTCTTAGATGCCCCCCTCTATCCCACATTCATGGCTAACATAAAAGTGGAAGTTGATGCAAAATGACATCATATGGAAGATAAAGAAAGTGCTGCACCACTGCCTCAGCTCAGCACAGCTACCTCTTCCCTCAGGGCTTCTGACTCTCTCAGGATGTGGGTGTCCACACTGCGTCTCTCGTACAGTAATGCACGGCCGTGTCCTCAGCCTTTAGGCTGCTGATCTGCAGATGCACTGTGCTGACAGAGGTGTCCATGGAGAAGACAAACCGTCCTGTTTAGCCCTGGGCATACGTTGGGTTCCCAGTGTTGGTGTTCATCCATCCCATCCACTCAAGCCCTTCTCCAGGGACCTGTCTCACCCAATTCATACCATAGGTGGTAAAGCTGTAACCAGAAGCCTCGCAGAAAACCTTCACTGAGGCCACAGGCTGCTTCACCTCAGGCCCAAACTGCACCAGCTGCACCTGGGAGTGGGCACCGGTGGAGAGAGAGGATTGTGTGAAGTCTCACTTGACTGCCCTGGTTTCTCTGTCAGCCCTGGGACTGGGGAGCCCCTTAACTTTTGCTGCTGCCACCAAGAATAGGATCCTGTAGGTCCTGTGCATGGTGAGGAGCTGTGCTGTTGGTGGGGTGTGGTCCCCAGGAGGGGTGTTGTTGTCGGGTGATGCTCTCAGGGCACAGAGTTATCTGTATTAACCTCAGTGATTTGCATATTCAGGAAGGATGCAATTTAATAGCCCAATTCCTGACCCAGTATGAGAAAGAGCAAATACATGACACATGGACGACACAGTTGTAGAAGCTGAGGGTTCAGGCCGTAATCCTGTTAGAAGCCATGGTAATTATTCCTAGTGACATGGAAATGGCTGACAGCCCTCAATTCAGTTAATTCCTTCGGTTCACCTGAGTGTCTACAAGAATCCGATGAACCTCAGGACTCTTCTTCATGGATGATTCTGAAGATTGTCAATCAACTCAGTGCTACAGACAGGCAGCTAATGGAGGATTTTCAGTCCACTGATACACTGGGCCAGCAACTTAGGAAACATCCAAAAATGAAACATTTTTTTCAATGCCAATCAATATTAAATTCAAGAGTCAGGATTTTCAGTAAACTGGAGCGTAAAATTTTCATGATTCTTGTCAATGGGGTCTCAAACTTCATGGCATGCAGAAGAAATGAGCTCATCATGGTTAGACAGAAGCTTCTTTTCCTAGGAAGTTAGTCTCTCAAACTAAAGCAACAGAGAAGTGGTTTCCTGAAATCTTGTGAACTCCAGCCATGAAACTCCAAAAACTCTCCAATTTTTTGGTTCATGTCTTAAAACTTAAGAAGCAATGAAAAAATCTACAAAATCTAGCAGAAATTTATGAAGCCTATCACAGCCCTTGGCCATATTTAAAACAAAACCCTCATGTTAAATGTGTATGATAATCGTAAACCTTGATATCAACCTTTATGTGAAACTTATCCTGTGAACTCACACTTTACTGGTTTCAAAAGTTCATCGCCCTTGTGATGCAGCAGCAGGTGCCTTTGAGAACGTGCTGATGCTTCAAGTGAACACGTTCTAGATCCTCACTTGACTTCATGGTTTCATATTTAGAACTGGCATGTCTGTGAATGAAAACCCACCATTTTTATCCAACTGAGTTTCATCTTTTGAGATCATTCTGGACCTTGCCAACAGCCTCCATCGTGCAGGCTCCAAATCTTTTGCTTTTAAGGGAATAAGGGAACAAATTCATCCTGCTCTCAGGTGAGAAGCTTTATTGACTTCTATTATATTTATTAGAAACTCTCATTGAGAGCCATAATCAAACATTATTTGTTTATGGATCATACCTCAAAACTGAAACTGTTTTTCCTAGTGGCTATATCATTCTATATTTTCACAATTATAGAAAACATTATAAAGGCTCCAGATGAATTAAAACTAGAAATATTATATGACCAGAAATTCTGCTTCTAGAAATAAACCCAAAGCAGATGCAATCACCACCTTGTTAAGATATCTGAATCCTATGTTTATTGAAACCCTATTAATAACAACCAGGATATGGAAACAATCTGAGTGTCAGTAGATAGACAAATGGATAAAGACAATGTTGTATGTATACATAGTAGAATACTATTTAATCTTATAAAAGAAGATGCTGCCATTTTCCACAAGATGGATCGAATCCCATCACTACTAACAGGGCACGCCGTCCATTCTAGCTCCTCCCTAGGGGATGGCAGATCCTTATTCAGCAGTAAACACTGGCTGTGATGGGAAGTAGACTTTTATGAACTGTTGTATTTTTCAGCATAAGACATCAATGTCTTAAAATATTCTGTGGTGTCTGCATGTGATAAAGTGGAGTCTAATATTAGAGGTAAAATTAAAAATGCAGGGGTCTTCTAGACACCAAGTCATAGGATGATCATGGCCGTGTACTTGAGGGTGTGGACCATAGGTCATACATACTAGTTGGAGTAGTTTTGGCAAAATATGTTCCAGGGGTAAAACTTTCTTGAACTGGCCAGAGAGTACACAGGTGAGGCAGACGGTCAGTGAAGGCACTAGCAGTCTGGGACTAACTCCTGTAGCTGCTCCCAGGACAGGACACTTAGAGATATAGAGACTTAGTCCCTGTCAGTCACATGCAGTCACAACCATCCCTATAGGCCACGTCTGACATCTGAAACACTCAACTTGAGAGC